GAATAACGTCAAACCTATCCACAGAGACCTGGCAAGCCAGAAGGGCCTGGCAAGACATATTCAGGGTACTAAATGAGAAGAACATGCAGCCAAGAATACTTTATCCAGCAAGGCTGTGATTTAGAATGGATGGCGAGATGCAGAGCTTCCACGACTGGCAGAAACTGAAAGAATATGTGACCACTAAGCCGGCCCTGCAAGGAATATTAAGGGGGGGGGCGTTCTATAAAAGGAGAAAGACCCCAAGAGTGATATACAACAGAAATTTAGAGACAGTCTATAAAAACAACGTCTTCACAGGCAACATGGTGACAATTAATTCCTGTCTTTCAATAATCACTCTCAACGTGAATGGCCTAAATGCTCCCATAAAATGGCACGGGGTTGCAGATTGGATGAAAAGACAGGACCCATCCATATGCTGCCTACGAGAGACTCATTTTGAACCTAAAGATACATCCAGACTGAAAGTGAAGGGATGGAGATCCATCTTCCATGCCAATGGGCCTCAAAAGAAAGCTGGGGTAGCAATTCTTATATCAGACAAATTAGATTTTAAACTAAAGTCTGTAATTAGAGACAAGGACACTGTATGATTCTTAAAGGATCTATCCAACAAGAAGATCTAACAATTGTAAATATCTATGCCCCCAACGTGGGAGCAGCCATCTATAACAATACGTTAATTGTAGGAGACCTCAATACTCCACTCTCAGCAATGGACAGATCATCGAAGCAGAAAATCAACAAGGAAACAAGAGCTTTGAATGATACACTGGACCAGATGGACCTCATAGATATATACAGAACATTCCACCCTAAAACAACAGAATATTCATTCTTCTCGAGCGCACATGGAACTTTCTCCAGAATAGACGGCATACTGGGTCACAAATCTGGTCTCAACCTATACCAAAAGATTGAGATTATTCCCTGCATATTCTCAGACCACAGTGCTTTAAAACTGGAACTCAATCACAAGAAAAAATTTGGCAGAAATTCAAACACTTGGAAGCTAAAGACCACTCTGCTCAAGAATGGGTCCACCAGGAAACAAAGAAGAACTTAAACAATTTATGGAAATCAATGAGAATGAAACCACATCGGTCCAAAACCTATGGGATACTGCAAAGGCGGTCCTAAGGGGGAAATACATAGCCATCCAAGCCTCACTCAAAAAAAATGGAAAAATCCCAAATTCACCAACTAACTCTACACCTTAAAGAACTAGAGAACAAGCAACAATGCCTAAGCCACGCATTAGAAGAGAAATAATTAAAATTAGAGCAGAGATCAATGAATTAGAAACCAGAAACACAGTAGATCAGATCAATGAAACTAGAAGTTGGTTCTTTGAAAGAATTAATAAGACCGATAAACCACTGGCCAGACTTATCCAAAAGAAAGGAGAAAGGACCCAAATTAATAAAATTGTGAATGAAAGGGGAGAGATCACGACTAACACCAAGGAAATAGAAACAGTTATTAGAAATTATCATCAACAACTATATGCCAATAAACTGAGCAATCTGGATGAAATGGAGGCCTTCCTGGAAACCTATAAGCTGCCAAGACTGAAACAGGAAGAAATTGACAACCTGAATAGGCCAATAAGCAGTAACGAGATTGAAGCAGTGATCAAAAACCTCCAAAAAAAAAAAAAAACAAGAGTCCAGGGCCTGATGGATTCCCTGAGGAATTCTACCAAACATTCAAAGAAGAAATAATACCTATTCTCCTGAAGCTGTTTCAAAAAATTGAAACAGAAGGAAAACTTCCAAACTCATTCTGTGAGGCCAGCATTACCTTAATCCCCAAACCAGGCAAAGACCCCATCAAAAAAGAGAATTTCTGACCGACATCCCTGATGAATATGGATTCCAAAATCCTCAACAAAATCCTAGCTAATAGGATCCAACAATACATTAAAAGGATCATCCAAAACGACCAAGTGGGATTTATCCCCGGGATGTGAGGGTGGTTCAACATTCGCAAATCAGTCAGTGTGATAGAACACATTAATAAGAGGAGGGAGAAGAGTCCTTTCATTTGATGCAGAAAAAGCATTTGACAAAATACAACATCCTTTCCTGATTAAAACTCTTCAGAGTATAGGGATAGAGGGAACATTCCTAAGTTCATAAAATCCATCTATGAAAAACCGACAGCAAATATTAACAATGGGGAAAAGCTGAAAGCTTTTCCCTTAAGATCAGGAACACGTCAAGGATGCCCACTCTCACCACTGTTGTTCAACATAGTACTAGAAGTCCTAGCAACAGCAATCAGACAACAAAAAGAAATAAAGGGTATTCAAATTGGCAAAAAAGAAGTCAAACTCTCTTTTCACAGACGACATGATACTTTATGTGGAAAACCCAGAAGACTCCCCCACCCCAAATTACTAGAACTCATACAGCAATTCAGTAATGTGGCAAGATACAAAATCAATGCACAGAAATCAGTTGCTTTCTTACACACTAACGACGCAACTGTAGAAAGAGAAATTAGAGAAATGATTCCATTTACAATAGCACCAAAAACCATAAGATACCTTGGAATAAACCTAACCAAAGAGGTAAAGGATCTATACCCTAGGAACTACAGAACACTCACGAAAGAAATTGAAGAAGACACAAAAGGATGGAAAAACATTCCATGCTCATGGATTGGAAGAATAAACGTTGTTAAAATGTCTATGCTACCCAGAGCAATCCACACCTTCAACGCCATGCCGATCAAAATTCCAATGACATTTTTCAAAGTGCTGGAACAAACAATCCTAAAACTTGTATGGAATCAGAAAAGACCCCGAATCGCCAAGGAAATGTTGAAAAAGAAAAACAAAGCTGGGGGCAACATGTTGCCCGATTTCAAGCTATATTACAAAGCGGTGATCACCAAGACAGCATGGTACTGGCACAAAAACAGACATACAGACCAATGGAACAGAATAGAGAACCCAGATATGGACCCTCAACTCTCTGGTCAAATAATCTTCGACAAAGCAGGAAAAAACATGCAATGGGAAAAAGACAGTCTCTTCAATAAATGGTGCTGGGAAAATTGGACAGCCACATGCAGAAGAATGAAACTCGACCATTCTCTAACACCACACACAAAGATACACTCAAAATGGTTGAAAGACCTCAATGTGAGACAGGAGTCCATCAAAATCCTAGAGGAGAACATAGGCAGTAACCTCTTTGACATTGCCCACAGCAACTTCTTTCAAGATACGTCTCCAAAAGCTAGTGAGACAAAAGCAGAAATGAACTTTTGGGACTTCATCGAGATAAAAAGCTTCTGCACAACAAAGGAAACAGTCAACAAAACAAGCAACCCACAGAATGGGAGAAGATATTTGCAAATGACACTGTAGATAAAGGGCTGGTATCCAAGATCTATAAAGAACTTCTCACACTCAACACCCAAAAAACAAATAATCAAGGGGCCCCTGGGTGGCTCAGTCATTAAGCGTCTGCCTTTGGCTCAGGTCATGATCCCAGGGTCCTGGGATCGAGTCCCACATCAGGCTCCCTGCTCTGCGGGAAGCCTGCTTCTCCATCTCCCACTCCCCCTGCTTGTGTTCCTGCTCTCGCTATGTCTCTCTCTGTGAAATAAATAAATAAAATCTTAAAAAAAAAAAAAGTCAAAAATTGGGCAGAAGATATGAAAAGACACTTCTCTGAAGAAGACATACAAATGGCTAACAGACACATGAAAAAATGTTCATCATCATTAGCCATCAGGGAAATTCAAATCAAAACCACATTGAGATACCACCTTACACAGTTAGAATGGCAAAAATGGACAAGGAAAGAAACAACAAATGTTGGAGAGGTTGTGGAGAAAGGGGAACCCCCTTACGCTGTTGGTGGGAATGCAAGTTGGTACAGCCACTTTGGAAAACAGTGTGGAGGTTCCTCATAAATTAAAAATAGAGCTACCCTATGACCAAGCAATTGCCCTCCTGAGTATTTACCCCAAAGACACAGATGTAGTGAAAAGAAGGGCCATATGCACCCCAGTGTTCACAGCAGCAATGTCCACAATAGTCCAACTGTGGAAAGAGCCAAGATGCCCTTCAACAGATGAATGGATAAAGAAGATGTGGTCCATATATACAGTGGAATATGACTCAGCCATCAGAAAGGATGAACACCCGACTTTTACATCCACATGGATGGGACTGGAGGAGATGATGCTAAGTGAAATAAGTCAAGCAGGGAAAGTCAATTATCATATGGTTTCACTTATTTGTGGAACATAAGGAATGGCTTGGAGGACATTAGGAGAAGGAAGGGAAAAATGAAGGGGGGGAAATCGGAGGGAGAGATGAACCATGAGAGACGATGGACTCTGAGAAACAAACTGAGGGTTCTAGAGGGGAGGGGGGTGGGGGAGGGGTCAGCCTGGTGATGGGTATTAAAGAGGGCACGTTCTGCGTGGAGCACTGGGTGTTATACGCAAACAATGAATCGTGGAACCCTACATCAAAAACTAATGATGTAATATAGGGTGACTAATGTAACATAAAATTAAAAAAAAAGATGTCGGTGAACATTTCAGGTGATGGGAAGGCTCAGAAGAACACACTGATGAGGGAGGGCCCGTGGAAAAGGATGGGAAGGGTTAGCGGTGGAGGGGCGTGCTCTCAGCACTCCTCTCCCTCTTAACCTGAAGCAGCAGGGACTCGGACTGGAACCTAAACCCTTGGACACAGAGCACTGTCAGATGGCATCATCAGATGAAGACTGAGAGGACACTGAACAAAATGAGTTTACTGTGGACACTGAACAGAGGAGGTGTGTGCAGTAGTGTTCTGATTCTTCTGTAGCCTTGTCACATCATAGAGCTGCCCGCATAGCTCTTGTTTCTTGGGGTTTGTCATCATCTATACTAAAAGTAATAAAGAGACGTTGGGATGTCACTTAGAGCTAGTTCCAGTCATTTTTTTCAGTGCACTATAAATCATACCCAGTTTGATTTTTCCCCAGGCTCAAAGCCTCACTCCCCAGGACTACAGTCTGAGGTGGTCAGGCCTTCTGGTGACAGTGGGTGAAGTCCTGGAAAAGAGCTTAGTGAACGTGACGCGGACCGACTGGCACCTGACATTCACCGGCATGTCTCGCCGGCAGATGATCTATAGTGCGGCCAAAGCCATTGCTGGCATGTACAAACAGCGCCTGCCCCCCAGGACCGTGTGACGGAAGACTCACCCAGGGCCCAGACACCACTTCGCTTGGAACTTGGCGGTAAAGACTTTGTCCCATCCCCAGGTGGAGAGCTCCAGTGGATGCAGCAGTCTTGAGAATTTGCCTGTAGGCTGCACTTGATCTTTCCTAGAAAGGCACGGTGTCATTCCAGGAGCTGCAAAGAAGCAGATCCTTGCCGTGATTGTGTCATTTCACGTACCACAGTTCTTAGAAAACAAAATATATAAATATTTTTATAGGACAGTTTGATACACCAAATTTGTAAGGTGCAAATTCACGTGCTACATTTAACTTAATGATATGTACTTGATTATTTTGTTTAAGAAGATACGACTCGTTTAAGAACATGTCATTGTTTATTTCATGATTTCTGTCTTCTCAGTCTTTGATGCTTTTTGTGTGCGCAGGTCATCTCAGGTCTGACGTTGAGCTGTGTGTTCAATAGCTGACCCTCAGACACGTACTTGCAGAGAGATGGCGCACATTTCTATGCATACTTTTTACATGGGCCAAATGTGTTTTTGTTTTTTTGGGTTTTTTTGGTTATCATGTACGTACACACATAATCTAAAAAAAAAAAGTTTTTTTTTTTAAAGTAAGCTTTGGCATTTCACAGATTTAGACTCTGAAGCATTGCAGTAGTATGTTTTATTTTCCCTTGCTATATGACAACTAAGTGGCCCATGATTTGAAGGTATTTTAAATCAGAAGCATTTCGGTTATTTTTATATAATACTATTCAGTATTTCCAAGTGAACTCTGACAACGGCCATTATTTCTGCCTCCACTCATATATTCTCAAGTGTCGTAGAGAAATTTTTCAGAGGAATTGTTATTTATGGAATTGTATGCCTCTTCTTTTAGTTAAGGTTACTTAATATTTAGTTTGCCTTAAACACTGCTTTTCTAACTTGGTGCCATTCTGCCTTTACTCTTTATGGAAATTTTCAGTGAAACTGTTTTAATATTCAACTGGTTTATCTAGTCCATCATGTTTGTATTTAGTGAAAGCTTCCCCCGCTAATCCCAAATAATATATTTTAGCATTTTTGGATTTATATAAATCAAAATTTAAATAGTTTGTCTTATACTTTGGACTCTATGTATGCAAGTTCCTATAACTTTTTGAAGATAGTTTCTTACACAAATGTAATATAATTTTTATTTACTCGTCTATACAGTTCGTTGGCTGTAAATTAAGTAGCACAATCTTATAAAGGGTATTGAAGCTCTTACCCCACACTGTCACTACAGGTAATGTTTGCTTTGTATTACTTTGGGTACTTACTTGATTTTTGCTTTTTTACCCAAGGATGAGAAGCATTATTTTCACAACTATATGTTCATTTCCAGGCACTGTATGATTGCTTGGTGAAATTAAGACTTGTTTGTCATTAAAAGTAAGGAGAGAAAAGACATGTAACCAGTTGCTGCGGCATAATAGGGCTAGAATGCTTTTCTCCCCTCTTTTCTTGCTATTTGTGCAACACTTTATGTTTTCTCCATCTGATTAATAAAAAAGAGAGGCCTTTCTGTACCACTTGCTTTTATCCTTTATTTTAAAAAAGCTACACTTTTCTAACAGGATTTTATCATGGCATTGGCCTGGTGACAAATCACAATTAGGGATGAAGGATGCCCGTACTTGGAATATGCAGGTGCAGATATGTCACTTTCCCTCCCGTTATAGGGAATCTTAGCGATCCTAAAAAAAATGTTTTTCTTTTTATTTTACCAAGTCTCAGATAGTTTATGTTTCTGAAGGCTGTTTTCACAGAATCACAAACAATGGACATCCCCTTAGAGGACAGTTTTCCCACAGTCCTCAAATTCTTCAGTTATTCTGTAGCTTGGGTGAAGCCAGGTAATTTTCCCAGCCCTGTTCATCCGCTGAACCTTCTGCTCTTTGGAACAGTGTGAGGGGGTGAGGAGAATTAGGGAAAGGCACATGAAAAAGATAAACCCAGGATCCACTTTTGACCCCCAGTTACCGTTGAAAGTCATCCAAGCATGACTGACTCCACACACTCTGTTTTCCCCACCTCATGCTTATTTTTTCATCTTTAGATTTCTTTGTCGTATGAGGGGCAAGAAAAGTCACTCATCACTTCGTACGCACCCTGGCGGCTCGAGCCGGGCAGGCCCGTGGTGAGCGTGGGCCCGAGATATATGCGAGCCCTTGGTCCGAGGCCACATTTCCCCTCACCAGTCACCCAGCCGCCCCTGGTTCTTTGCCCTTCCTGCTCCATTCCCTCCCGACACTAGCATTTCTGAGGGACGGTCAGACTCGGGGCTCTTTGCTCTTTTGGTCCCTCAAGCTTCGCAGGAAAACGGGTCTCTAACACAGTTCTTCAGCACTGTCTTGTGGTTGGGTCTGCGATACTTTGTTCCTCTGAAATGCTCCAGGAATCACTCCGTGAATTTTCTCTGCTGGTACACTTTTTTGTTTTAATTAAGCAGTGTGAAGGCCACCAGGAAAAATGAGCAGCAAGAGAAATGTAATGTCAACCTTAGGTGACAGAAGGAACTCCGATGACTCCATTCAAAACCCTTCGGCTAATAAGCCTGGACCAGGGCTGTGCCACAGTTGGAAAGCTTCAGGCAGTTCTAGTTTTCTCCTCCTTGTCTCTTAATTACTTCCCCATTCTTTGTTCCTTTTTATCTTAAGGATTAATGAGGTAGAAAATCGAGATGACTGAATTTAAACCAAATGGTAGTATACTGGTAAGTTTAAGGAAAGTATGATATGCATGTATTCAAAAATTATGCAAATTAGCGATACACTCAGGGTCAACTTAATTACTTTATGTGGTTGAATTTACTTTGTTCCTTGACTACAAAAAATTCTCAACAGATATTTGTTCTCTGAAGCCAAATTGATGGTATTTTGTGATCCACAAGATGTTGGGTTATGCAAAAATTACTAAGAAACGTGGGTTTTTACTCCCAGAATATGATGTTCATTCTTAAGAAACTCTGCAGGATGATATATTGGATAAGAACAGTTTTGTAAGTATGTAAATATGTCATAAATAAATAATACCTCATTTTATTTCCCAAAGTTGTAAAGTGATTTTTTAAATGCTAAGTCATATTAATATTCTGTTAGAAGGATCTACATTACTTTCATTGTCTCACTGGGCTCCTGGCTGCCAACAATTCTTACAGAATAGCAACTTAAAACACATCTTTCAAGTGCAGTGGTAACAATTCAAATATACCAGAATCGCTAACTTCCTGTTCAGAGAACTCAGGATATTTAGGGTAGCGACTACTCTGGAGATGGAGGTGATGGGCAAGAAGTTAGGGCCTGTGTTCCTGAGGAGATGTCTTGACTGGGGGCTTTAATTTACCCTTAGCTTCCACACATATCTTCTTTAAAATAAAAAAGAAAAGCTTATTATATTTGCTCTTCTGAGCCTGTGATCTCAGGGCAGAGATTTTTGTTTTGATTTGGTAGGCAAGGGGGTACTTTACAAAAGACCGTGAAATGTTCATTTGAGTGTCTTGTTTGTTTGTTCGCCAAAGGAAAACAACATTGTTTTCAGTACACTAGAAAAATACCAATTCGGGACTCAGGAGAGGCCCTGTTAAATTTATACTTTGTTTTAGAATCAACTGGAGGAGGAGAAAAAAGTTTAGGCAAGAGAAACAAAATTAGCAAGACCAATATCAAGGTCTAAGAACTTTCCACATAAAGGAAATTTTTGAAATTATCCTTGTCATGAATACATACAAAGAATTTAAAGCAGTAGGAAAAAGGAACTAACAAGTCAGAAATGCGTAGTGCTGGTTAGGTACTGGAGTAGAAACTTTTTATAGGTGCAGTAACTGAAACAGGATCAGCTACTTACTCAGTATCATCCCAGCGACTGAGTTACAGGCACATGACTGAAGTGGAGGCTGTCACTTCCCAGACCATTCGCTTATGAAACGTCCTACATACATGCTTCACGAACTTAGGGGTACATAGCTAATCCTGTAAATATTTGTTGAATTCTAAACTTAATTCGAACAACAGCTTGAGACTTTGCCCTGGTATACTTTCAGTTTTACATTATGTTTAAGGAACACTTCTGACTCCGTATTTTTCATTTTAGTTTTAATTGCTGCTCTGGGCTTTGCTTCTGGTATAAGAATATATTTGTGGTCACTGAATATTCTCCCAAATTTAAGAAACCAGAAACTAGGTTTACATTTGAGTATCATTTTTAGGATTAGAGCCAGAAATGTTGTTACTGTCTAACTAGTCTTCAAGCAAGATACTGACCACATACCTTGTAAAATATATTTTAATATTTTGAGTCCTCCTGCTCCAGGGGCCACGCTTTTGAGAACCACTGCTGTGATACCATTCCTGACTCATTCTTCACGTCCTAAGATACTTTATAGAGAGTGACATCACCCAGATAGCAGCATAGGTCGCTCCTGACTTCACTCTCCCTCGCAGGAAGAGCAACTAGCAACTATTCATGGAGAGATACCACTGAGAGAATCGTAGAACGAGGGGGTGAGGCTGAAGCAGCCCTGCTCCACAGAGACCTAGAAAGACGGCGTGAGAAGGGGAAGAGGCCCAGCTAGCCGCTTGCCTATATTGCCCCTCCCGCCAAGGCTGGCACAGCACCACTGACAGATCCCCCTCTGAGCCTCTGGTTCCCCCACAGGGAAAAGAAATCCCGGGGTGGACATCTAGCTACCCCAGCATTATGGGTTGCTTCTTGGGAGCCCCCACTGTAGTCTCGATTCCGAGGAATTGCAGGCAAATCTGCAGGACTTGACCATCATGCATCCGATTTCCTACCTGCAGCACCCAAGCAGTGGTCCCGATCAGCAATTTGCTAATCTGCAGAACCAAGTGTGTGGCACAGTCTGACTCGGGAATTCAGCACAGTGTAGGTCTGCCTGCTTTGGGTCCTCCAATCAATAGCCTCCCCAGCCCTGGATCCTGGACTGCCCCCACCCAGGCAGGGTAGCTGAACCAGAGCCCAGCCCTCTGCTGAGTGTAACTCCTAGCCCCATCTGACCAGAAAGGCCGGCAGGAACCCCTGGAAGCTGCATAGCCTGGCAATGCTTGTGCAGAGAGAATGGCAGGCAAAGCTGATCATCCACAAATTGAAGCCAGTGCCAGGTGTGGAGGGTTCCCCTGCTTTACCAGTCAGAGGAGCTAATTCATACCCTACTCACCATTAAGTAAAACTCCCAACACCACCAAACCAGAAAGCCAGACTCAAACACCTGGACAGCTATGTACCCCATCAATTCTTGAGCAGAGCACCTGGAAGGCAGAGCTGATAGTCTGCAGAGCAAGGCTGGTAACCCTGTTTAGCTAGGAAATTTGAGAAATGGGTTGGTTTGAGAGAAGACAAAGCTTTACCAGCCTTGGAGCTGGTTCTTCCTCTCTGCCAGGACAGGGAAACTAATTCACAGCCTCACTCATTGCTAAATAAAGCCTCAGCCTGCCTTCCCAGAGAAGTTAGCCATGGGAAGCTGGGTAGCCCATCCAATAGCCCATGACTTTACCCATTTATAGAAAAAAACCAGCGGCCTTGTTTGGCCAGGAAATTCAGTGTACACTTTCACTTGATTCAGGTCCCCAGTCAATGAGTTATGCATGTCCTGGGCTCCGGCCTGCTGTCCTGCCTGGGCATGGAAGCTATTCGTAGTTCCACCAGCTGCTGAGTATAGTACCCAGTCCCAACCGTCTAGTATGCCTGACCAGAGAACTGGCAACTTGTGGAGCCCGTACTACCACTTGACTTGGGCAAGGAATCAAACCAGCAGTTTAACCCAACTATTCTCAGACAGCCACACCCCACCTTAGCCGCAGAGCTTGGACAGGTGCCTCAACCCAAATTAGACCCTGATAGCAAGCCCTACCACCCCAAGGATGTTCCTAGCAGATATTTCCAGAAAGCCATATTGAGCTTACTGCTGAAGAACTTAAGTCTAGGCCTACTCAAACCTGTGAAGTATGGAGAAGGAACCACTTACTTGAATGTGCAAATATCAAAATAAGGAACCCAGGATCATTAAAAATAAGATAACAGGAAGCACCAAAGAAAACCTGAAGCTCCAATAACTGACCCTAAAGAAATGGAGATCTATCAATTATCAGACAAAAATTCTGAATTACCTTTTTCTTTTTGCCCCCACTGTTGTTTTCCAGAATAATCCTTTTAAAAATGTTTAGTGAGCAACAAGAACACACAACTTAATGAAATTTGAAAAATGCATGCACAAAATGGCAAGTTCCACTTAGAAAGAAACTATCAACAACAAAAATCCAAACAATTCCTAGAGCTGAACAGTATGACGACTGAATTGAAGAATTCAAAAAAGAGCTTCAAAAGTAGATTTGACCATGAAGAAATAATTTGTGACTGAAAGAAACATAAGAAATTCTACAGTCAGGAAAAAAATTATATATATATATATATATATATTTTTATACACACACACACACACACACACACACAAAGCCTACTATTAATGGGACACTATCAAAAGAAATATTACCCACCATCATGGGAATTCTAGAAGAAGAGAAAGAGTAAGTGACAAAGTATGTTTAAGCAAAAAATGGCTGAAAACTTCCCAAAACCTGGGGAGAGAAAAAGAAATCCAGATACATAAGAGCCAAAGGACGCAAAGTAGGTTGAGCCCAAATAGGGCTGCACAGAGACATATTATCATTAAATTGTGAAAAGTCAGAGATAAATAACTTTGAAGGTATCAAGAGAAAAGAGGAAAGTTACATGCACAGGAACCCCCCAAAGACTATCCATTTCTCAACAGAAATGTTCCAGGCAGGAGACAATGGGATGATATATTCAAAATATTGAAAGAAAAAACTCAACCAAGAATTCTATATCCTGGAAAGCTGTTCTTCAGAAATAGAGGAGAAATGAAGACTTTCCTGAGTCAACAAAAGCTGAGGGAGTTCATCTACATCTACCTTACAAGAAATGCTAATGGAAGTTCTTTGAGTGGAAATAAAAAGAAGCCAATTAACATCATAAAATAAAACAAAAGAAGGTAGCATAAAACTCACTGGCACTGGTAAACATACAGTGAAAGTTAGATTCTGTAATACGGAATGTTGGTACATAATGCACTTATACTTCTAGTTTAAAAGTTTTAAAACATAGTAAAAATAACTATGCACTATTCTGTTACTAGATATAAAATATTTTAAAATATGCAAACTATAACATCAGTAACTTAAAATGGGAGTGGGAAAAGCATAAAGTTTAAGAATGCTATTTGAGTTGATTTTTAGTTTAAAATATAATTTTCAGATATTTTTTGTAAGCTTCATGGTAACTTCAAGAGAAAAATCTAGAGTACACAAAACAACATTACAAACAGTTCAAAACATACTGATACCAAAAGACATCAAAACACAAGAGAGGATATGAAACAATGGACAATGGATCTTCAAAACACCCAGAAAATAACGGACAAAATTATCAAATACCAAATAATTATCAATAAGTATCAATAATTACTTAAAATGTAAATGGATTATATTCTCTAAAACAAAGAATGGCTCTATGGGGAAAAAAATTAACAAGATCCAATGATGTGTTGCCTTCAAGTAAGAGACTCACTCTAGCCTTAAAGAGACATAGACTGAGAATAAAGGAATGAGAAAAGGTATTTCAAGCAAATGGTAAACAAACAAACAAACAAAAAAATCAGGGAAGCTCTACTTGTATCAGAGAAAATAGACTTTAAAGAAAGACTGTAATTTAGACAAATGGCACAATATAATGATAAATGGATCAATTCACTGAGAAGATAGAACAAATGTAAATATTACCACAATCAAATGGGATTTATTCCATGCATTCAAGGGTGAGTCAATATCTACAAATCAAATCAATATGATACATCACGTTAACAAGAGAAAGGATAAAAATCTTATGATCCTCTCAATAGATGGAGAAAAAGCATTTGACAAAGTAAGACATCCATTCACAATAAAAACTTTCAACAAAGTGCATTAAGAGGGAACATACTTCAACATAATAAAGGCCATATATGACAAACCCA